CTTTCCTAAATTGTTTATTCAGGGGTTCCATCATTTTTATATTCTGCTCTATTTTTTTATCAGTGTATTCTTTAGCAGCATTTAGTACTTCTTTGATTATAGTTACCGCTATATGTTTTAGTTCTGAAATTATATCTGATGTGATTTCTTCTATACCTTTCTGCAGTTGATTTTTTACTGTCAACGCTATTATTTCTGAGATATCTGGCATGTGATTACCAGTTTCCTCAGTGCTGGTGTCTTCTGCAGTTGTACTGGGTGGACTCGAGGCCTGAGACTGCATTTTGTTCCCTCTCTTTGTCATTTTGTATAGCACTGTCTTCTGACCTTTGGTGAAGAGCTTGGATAGAGTTATTACCTTAGCACCAGGTCCAGATCTACGAAGTTCAGATTCCTCCATGTGGGTGTTGCTTGGATCTGGTTGCTGTGCTCCACTTCATTCTGCTGCAGCCGTTAGACTTGAACCCTTTGTGTCTCTCTGGCAAGATGTTCTGCTCCTGAATCAACTGGGTGGGTCTTGCCTCTAGCCTCTTTGCAGGGAGTTCTGCTGAAGGGTTCTGTGCTGAGCCTGTGCTCTGGGTCTATTCAGGATCCAGAGGAGCCCAGGTCATCTCACTCACTCACCGGGCCTGCGCTCTGGGTCTGTTCAGGATCCTGCCAGGCCCTGGGTCGTCTCACTCCAGTCTAAGATTATTTCAAGTTTTTTGATCAGTATGAAATATAGCTACTTCAATAGTAGAAGAAGTTTATCCGCATGCCTTTGTCTCCAATGTTATTCTGCTTGGTCACTCTATCTTTATTTTAAACTAACATTTACAAAGGAAACTTTTTGGTAGCCCTAGTATCAAAGGTTAAAGTTCCATTGCCTTATTTTTCGCCATTTCCACTTTTGCAGGAGCAAGCTTATCTGATAATCTAGCTTGGTCACCTTTTCTTTTGCCTTCCTTCCCCTGAGCCTTCTGGGCATCTTGGCAGCATAGACAACACCTGTGGATGCCACCAGAAGCTTCTATAACCTTCCTGAAGCTGTACTGTCCCACCCTTCCACCCCTTCTGAGAACCAGGGCCTGAGACCACTCACAACTTTGTAATATACTTCTTGTCTTCTTTCACATAGTTGCTGCAAACATAGTTATGCTCTTATAACACATAGTAATACTCTTCATAAGGTTAATTTTTAATAACATTTGCTTTGGTTGAACACATGTGATTATTTAAGCAACATTCTATTATTGAAATTTATTTTAAATTATAAATATTGTGAGTGTGGTTTTTTGAGACAGGGTCTCACTATGTGGTTCATGATAACCTTAAATTATGTAGATTGGGCTGTCATCGAACTTGTGATGATCCTCTTGCTTCACCTTCTTAAGTACTAGGATTACATGTGCATGTCATCACACCCAACCCTCAGATACTCTGTGGTTTAATTTTACACAGTACTAAATTGATTTCAAAAAATTTGTGTGATTTCTTTGTGGTAATAACAGTTGAAATTATTTCTTCTAGATATTTAAAATATTTAACATAAAAACTATGCAAAATTATTTGTCTGATAAAAGCAACACTACATCAAAAGTTTGTAACATTTCTTATCTTGATAGAACAGTAATTAACAATGCTTGTTTTGGGCTGGGGAGATAGCTACATGGCATAAGCACCTACCTAGCAAGTGCAAGGTCCCAAGTTCAATCCCTGGTACAGCAAGTGCCAGCCCAGAGCTGGGCTTAGTGGCACATGCCTGTAATCCTAGCACTAGGGAGGCTGAGACAGGAAGATTACTATGAGACTGAACTGTGTAGTGAGACCCTGTGTCAAAACCCCCAAACTATGCTTCCTTTGCCCTATGCTTAGTAGCATCTAAAAACTGTCAGTAAATAAACAAATTTGCAGTTCTAAGTGTATTTGTTTTATGATAGTTTTACTATTTTTGGAACATTTTCATATTTTATCAGCCCTTTTTATGATTACCTACAGACATTCTTTTGCTGTTTATTAATTTTGTATTGTTTTTATTTGAATGAGGTCTTCTACAGTAAAGCCGTTGATGTATTTACTGCATTTTTTTTCTTTACATCAGCAAGTGTTAATGGTTCCTTCACAACCTTGGGATATTTTCTTACTAAATCACATGTCAGAAAATATCTGCCAATTGTTTTCTAGTTTCTGGGGGGACTCTCCCTCAGGCCCGTGTGTGTGTGTGTGTGTGTGTGTGTGTGTTTGCACGTGCATTTGTGTGTATGTACCAACCCATATGTATATAGACCAAGAATTCTGCTGAATTTGTGTTACTACTGCAATAGATTAGTACAAACTTATTGCTATAAAATAACCCACTTTATTCTGACCATATCAGAAGTCTGATATGTTGCCAATGTTAATCTGTAAGTCAGATACTCTCTCTCTCTCTCTCTCTCTCTCTCTCTATATATATATATATATATATATATATATAGCTACTTTATAAAACTGACTTTGAAGGTAATGCTTTTGCTTAAAAATTAGTTTAAAGAATTTGG